CTTGTAATAAAAATGCTATTGCAATAAAAGGTTTCCAATGTACACAATAAACCATTTCACAGAATGAATTAGGTTTTGGAAGATTGAGAGAGCGAAATGTAAGCTCTATTCATCGCAGCAGGTTTGATGGATGGCCTCCAACATTGTGTCATCAGGCTTGGGTTGCGTAGATAAACTGATTATTTTCTTACCTTTTACATTAATTCTTGATATATGTAACATTATATTTCTTTAATAATAATTGAATTTACTTTCGTTTTTCATACAAAAAAGAAAACTGTTACTCATCAGCATGTATATATCATATGTCATCATAATCATGTCATCCTAAAAAAATACCCTAATCTCATTAATACAATGAACATATTTAATAGCTGTATGGTACTAAATAAACTAGCTGTCGGCCGCGACCTTGTCCGCACACAAGTAAAAAAAACTAAATTAGTAGTCTATGTATTCTTCCAGGCTATGTTCTACACCCATGCCATCTTTCAGCGAGACCCATGCAGCCATTCTGAAAATAACTCCTAACAAACAAACATCCATTCCATCCAAACATTCACGTTTATAATATTAGTAAAATCTCTACAAACAAACTTTACTAATTTAAATGAAATTTGTTTCATGCTTCATTTACCGAGTTCACATAACTGCTTTGTTGATTTTCGATAAACTTTTAACATAGGTCTTTTGAGCTCTCCATCTCTCATTATAAAGATTAGCTTAACAAGTCTCAAGAGACTCTCAGAGAATGCTGTGATACTTTATACGAAGTCTTTGAAATAAGTTATTGTAAAATTTTTAAATCTCTATCATTATACTTTGGTGCCAAAGAAAGTATCACGAATGTATATAATTATTAACGTAGAAACAATTTTAAGGGTGAGTTGCATCAAATCATCGGTTAGAGTACTCGTTATTAATTATAACGATAACTTAACGCAGGTTATAGTTATAGTTAGTTGATGCAAGTCACCCTAAGGCGTTTTATTATAATATATTATATTTGTTAGTATTTCATAATATTTATGTTTTATTTTCGCTTATAATGTGACGCCTTGTGTCCGCACGTTCCAAGAATTATGACTGTAATTAATTTTAATACCGTTTATCTATCCTTGTTGCCGCACAGTATGGTGTTATTAGATGTAATTGCTGTTCATAATCGAAGCTGTTAAATTATTTTGTGGATGCAATAGCGTTATGGAGCCCTCATTTATTTCAGGTAATATAAAATGTAAGAATTAAATGTATTATAAATTTAGTTACATTAAATTAATTCGAAAAGTTAGATTTCACTTGGTTACCGCATTTCGACGAGCTTGTTTGTGTGTGGTCTATGTTGACATTGCGCGACATAGGGGCAGACAAAGGATTTTCTACGATGTGAACAAAACTTGCTACAAGTGAGTTTTAAAGGACACTAGTAACTTTAATTTGCAAACGATAAAAGTAAAAGTAAAAGAGAATTATTTTATTTTTAAAACTTGAATGATATATAAATAGGAAAGATAAATGCACAGTAATAGCGTTTAAAGTTAAGTATAGGTTGGAGTCGCTTTGTTCGATTGCAAAATCACATAAATGGATTATGAACAGATTAAATCAAAGCTATAATCCGAGTACTCTATCGACGACTGTACATCTGTTTATGTTAAAGTACAGAGGTGGAGAACGGCTTTATATGCGTGAGCTTTCACATTGAAAGCTCTCAAGTCTGTTTCGTTATTTATGTATACAAAGCATTACATTAAAATATTTTAATTAAGCAAAGATGAACGACTTAAAGTAGAGCACAACACAGTGCTTCAACGTTCATGTAAAACAAAAGCGCTTAAAATTGTTGTAAATAAAGCGAGCGCGAACAATGAACACCTGCACTTGGTAATATTTTACAGGTGGCTAAAAATAAGAAGTCGTTATACTGGATTTGTTTGTTTAATGCTTCTGACTACAGCTAATAGATGGCTACCTGATTTTTATGTTTACCCTAACTGATCTATTTCGATAGTAATACGTTGGAAGTGTATTTTTCTAGTTTTAAAATGGACATCAGTTCCTTTTAAAATTTCATGGTCGAAAACCAAAGTAGATTTTCATGTTATCGGTCGACACTAGCTAAATATATAACTGAATACAATTAGAAATGTTTTTCTTAACCTACATAGTTTTAGACAGTATTAGTTTGAATCATTTGGGGCGAATGAATTGCTTTCGTTACAAAGTCCAGAATCAAAATGAATAGTGAGGGGACACAAACGTCGACAACTCAGCAGGGGCAGTGCTGCGCCAATACACCGGCACATTTTCGGACTTTAATCCTAACAATAGTTACCTTTTATTAGTGACCTGATTGATTTTTTTACCCATATATGTCCGGAAAAATATTGGTATTATGTCGACAATGTTTAGTTTATGTGACACACATTTGTTACCTGAATGGAGCTGCTTTTATGTTTACACGTACAAAAAGTATCGGTACAGAATGGCACCGTAACGAACATTAAATCTTAATACATGATTGATGATTTTCTTCTAAGCTATTTGTGAGTTGCAAGCAAAAATATAGGATTTATTGTCTTTCTCTTTGCTACTTTTTTCAACATGTGTCAACATTCATCTAACAACATCAACATCATGTTTTAGCTATATTTATATATCATAAGTTGAATAGCTGTCGCCCGCGACCCTGTCCACTTGTTTGTCTAAAAATAAAAAATAAATTTAGGGACTATCCTTAACATTTAGGGGTATGAGAAATAGATGATGGCCGATTCTCAGACCTACTCAATATGTTCACAAAATTTCATGAGAATCGGTCAAACCGTTTCAGAGGAGTATGGGAACGAAAATTGTGACACGAGAAAGATGTATAAGATAACGTCTCAGGGAAGGTTGAATAATTTAATCAATTATTACAGAAAATTGATTGCTTTCTGTTAAAAGGAATTATTAGTATAGTTAGATAGTTTTAGACATTATTAGTTAGAATCCTTTGGCGCGATTAACGTGCTTTCGTTACAAATTCCAGTGTCAGAATGAATAGTGAGGGGACATAAACGTCGACATTTTAGTAAGGCTAGTGTTGCGTCAATACACTGCCACATTTTCAGATTTTCTACCTAACAGTATATTCTAAAAAATACCCATAACCGACTTGAATAACTGTTAAAACATTGTGTAGAATAAAAACCAAAAATATTTTCGGCAAAATGTTGCTATTAGGTCGACAGCATTCAGTTCATGTGACATACATTTTTTACCTGAATGGCGACTGCTTTTATGTTTACTTGTTCAAAAAGCATTGGCACATCTTAATAAAACGTCTTATTCTAAGCTGAATAATTAGCAAACCAATGAAAATATAGGTTTTATTTTCATTTCTTTCCCTTTGATGAATTTTGAATATGTGCGTTTTATTCCTAAATGTAAAATAATATAAATCTTTAAAATTATCACGCAAATCCCACAACTTAAACATTTATTAATATAACTTCATTTATTTAGATAATAGGTAACTTAATTATGATAACTATCTCTTTAATTATTAATCTATTATTCTTTAATAATGTCACAGGAACGACACCGTATTTTGGCACAATGCCGTCCGTTAATCGATACAAAAACAAAGCCAGCTTTCACAACGTTAAATAAACCTTCATTGTGAAGACTGGTACACGGTTCTTTTGTTCAAATATGAAAAGGAATATACCAGTTGTTATTTTGTCGCTGTTCATACAACTTCATTAAAACCTATGAGTATAAATTTCTAAAAGTTCCATCTTATTATAGTGTAGGTACCAGGTAACCAGAACTTGTAAGATATGTTTATCAGCGCGTAGGAAATATATTGTTTTATCTTTTACTTCTCATACAAGAATCAATTAATCATTCGAGCATTTTAAAAATTAAATACCGCGCTACAAAAGGTATCAAGTTTTGCTATTGCAAGTAAATGAAATCAGTTGCAATAATCCTAAACAAAGTTCGTGCTTTGAAGTAATAATATGAGATAAGACGAGCTCCACGCTGCCGCACACTTTTATCTTTTCGCGGCACAAGTGCAGGCTGGATAAAGTTACATTTCTCTTAGTATTATTACCTTTCATTTAGCAGAACTTTCTTTGAGTTTATTCAGAAGTAAAATTACTGTATTTTTTTATTCAGGTGACATTATAAACTTAAAAAAATTATGCTATTTTTAAGATCAAACGAGATAAATTATTACGTTAGAATTTTCAAATAAATCCATGAGAAGAAAGATTGGGAACTTTCTTTTTTAAGGTATTTTAATAGTTATGAATAATACTTCAAACAAGACTTTTGGATGAAAACAAAAGTTTTAGAAACATAATGTGATGCTTTCACGGACAAATTGTTCATTATTCATGGAAGATTTAGGCAGACATCAATTTTAATTGTGCTAAACGGAGAGTTGTCAGTCACAATTCTCAATTTATAAAGTTTGTGTTGCTAATCCCCTGTTCACACAAACAGGAGCGATATTCGAGCATAGATAAAATGAAGATAAATAATTCAATGTTAGAGATCGCAAGGGATTAATTGATCTAAATTTTCACACGGGATATTTACAAAGATACCTTAAAATTCGCATAGATTATTCTTCCGTTATCATCAACGTTTTCCATATTTACATCGTTTTGTGTGTCACTGTCTTTAATTATTCAAAAGCATTATTATCCTACTTACCAATTTATTGTCATAACTTGCTAAATGGTTCTCAAGTTTGAAAACAAACCAATTGAATCTTTCTATTAAAAATTCTCTTAATGAGCTGCTTGTTTTCCCTCATTTTTTATTGATTAAATGATCTGCAATATCTTTGACCTTATAAGCAAACTAGCAAACTGGCCCTTACAAAAAATAAAACACCAAAGAGGTTCTTAACCTCATACTTTCAGCAGTCGATAAAAGAACGAATAAAAGAAGAACGATTTAAAAGTATAGAACGGTAAAAGTAGATTGGATATTTAACATACCTGCGATAAGATTGAGGTGCGACGGGCCAGCTGCGGCGCGACCTGAGGACAAGCGCGACGCGCGGCATCGAGCCCTGTGTGTTGCCCATCTGTGGCGCCGACGTCCGCTTGCGACTCCATCCGCGTCGTCCGCTGTTAGCTCCCCATAGGTGCGATGTTCCATGTTCTAAACAAAAACAATTATTATTAAACCAGTTGATCCGACGATTTTTACAAGAAGCCGGATTTTTTTCTTATTCCCATGTTAAACTACTTAAACTTTGATGTGGCAGGTGACAAGTGGCATTCACCAAATCGATGCTCTGTCCACCGCCTGCATGTGCCTGGTCACTCTGTCAGTGATAATTGAGTCAAATCACTGTCAAATAATCCAAAGGCGCCAGCGATGCTGCCCTGGCGATGCACCCGTATGCAACGCTTCCAGTACAAGCGTTTAGACTTCGTTGTTCGCGGTCCGAAACGCGAAACCAAATAATTAAGCGACTCTGTATACTATGAAATCGACACGTCCGATGTATAAACATTTCGGTCAAACTACCGATGCTAACTCTCAACTCTGCTGATTCACTGCTCTCCCCGCACATATCCCCGTATGCCCAGCGAGTGACGGTAGCGGTGAGGGATTTCCCACTTGTGCGGGAAAATAAAATTTTCATCGAGTTACCTACCTGTATAGCCGAATCGCGAAATTCAAAAATATAGTTCGTCATTGGATACGACGAACCACAATGCATTTTTACCAAATACATGCACTCTCTAAAAATTACAGATATTATATTTTCCTATTTTAATTTAAACCAAAAAAAAACATCCAAATCTGTCAGTCAGTTGTGAAAAACGCTGTGCGTAACAAACTTTCGATCGCGATGGAAATGTGAAAGCGCCATGTTATTGGAGTGCCACGAATTTTCATGCGAAAAAATGTTTTTGTTTTATCTTTATATTTCACTCCATCTGTTACCCGAAATGGCATGCATGTTCACAAATGACATCAATCCATTGAGCTATTTTTGTACAACTCTTTCAGATTGCGAATATCGTTTAAAATTATTTAATCTTCCTTTTTTAAATTTAAATGTTTTAACGTTACAATTATACTTTTTAATTTACTTTTTAAATAACAATGAAATGAATAAGGCATTAAGGATAAAGAGTTGAAACCTTTTTACAAATATTGTTTTTTCGTTTTTAAATATGTACGAGTACTTTGCTGTACAATGTTAATTAAACAGATACATATGTTATTAAAAACTAATTAAGTAATTAATAACTAATTAGTCTTGAATGTATCATGAACGATATCAATTACTTAATATATTACAATTTACAATAAGCCGACAACGATATTACATATGTATTTTTACATAAATGAATACAGCGCATTAAATTAAAATATTTTTCCAATATATAAATATGAGTTACCATTTTCAGATTCAAATTAATACACTCAATATCGTGAGTAAAATTGTTAGTGCCCTTCAGCCGATCAAACCACTAATATCGAATTAGACATATTTCATTTGCTGATCATATTATATGTTAGTAAATGTTACGCAACGGAAAGTACATTAATATTACCAACGACTTTCTCATGAATAGCTTGAGGTCAAGGGCTTAGAGAGATTCGAGATTTGGAATTAATTACCCATACTACAGAAATAAGTCCACTAATCTGAACTATACATAAGAATATCCGCTTTTTTTGATCCAATCGGTAACTTTGGTTATAGCAATTACTATTTGGCATTTTCTTGCCGCGACATGATTGTAGACATTCAAAAATATATTCAAATGTAGCATAATTCTCTAGTTATTTTATAGTATAGTACGCGTCATTATCCAGGCTCAGATACTAACATTTTTATTAAATATAATAAAGCCAAAGTTAAGTATGTGTCATAAAACTCAACGCCTTATTCCCCTCGAAGGCTAAATGATGTGAAAAATTACGGCATTTGCGGCATATTGATCCGAAAACCGAACATTCATTGCCTTTTAACATGCAAATTAGTTTAGGTAGCCATGATCCTTAAAAACTATCACCATGTAATTGAAAACAAGTGGAAGAAGTTTAAATTCGATTATTTTATCTTATTAATAGTACTACAGTATATTGACTATATACTTACGCGTATAGAGATGTGATGATGGGTGAGGTCCTTGTTCCGAGCATGCTCGCCGGCCGCGCGCGCTCACAAGTACGTCCCGTCGGGGACGTTCGGGCAACACTTCTACTGTTAACTCCTCCTCACAAACCACAATTTCACCGCCTCCCTCGTCACGTCCTTCCTCCACAACACAAGTCGACATCACGACTCTTCTATCCGTCGAAATGCCAACAAAAAACTGCACAATAAACTAACTTTTATCTGAACAATGCTTCGTCACAATTTACGAGTCAATGGGTCCGATTTGTCCGTTGTTTGCACAAAGTTCTACACTATCCTGCAGTCCATTAACGCCCGCAAACGCTTAAATTAGTTTACCAGGCAAACTTTCAGTCGACTCTAACACAACATGGTGCGTTTAGGTCGTAACTTTCGTACGATGGTGATTTTTGTGAGAATCTGTAACAAAAAGAAATGTTAAATTCTTGATGGAAAAGTGTCCCAACTGAGTATATCTTACTTATCTAACTAATAGTATAAATGCGAATGTTTAGATGGATGGAAGAGACGTCCTCTTAGATGATATCTCGAGAACAGCTCAACGGATCTCGATGAAATTTGACACGGAGAACATAGTCTGGAATAGCACATAGGCTATTAAGTTTTATTTTTAATTCGCATATATAAAAGGAAATAATTATTTTGATTCTATACAAACTTTACTATCTAAAATACAATTGCTACACTACAAAGCTAAAAGTTAATATAACTAAAGTCTTCGTTATTATTTGAACAGAAATAGATTTTGAATAGGTCTTGTGAATAATGTAAAAGGCATATTTAACAATACCAATTCATTTTGTAAGAATATGATACAGAGGTATCTGATAAGAATACAAAATATGCTATTCAATTTTGTCTGCTCTATTTGACATGTCAATAATAACTTTAGAGGACATAATTTATTATTAGTTCTAAAGATGCAAATACGACTCATGACTAAAGTACCACATACAAATTTAAAAGGTATTATACCGTTATATAAACTTTACTGATTTTAAGATAACATGAGCCGTTGTAGAATAAAGAACGATACTTAATTAATTTCTTATAAGGAAAGGATGGGAAGCGGTAGTTGATATTCTGGATTAGAGAATGCATGCGAAGGGAAAATATTCTGTTTTTGCGCATCCCCCTCCTCCGTCGCTTAAATGTAGATAACGCATATACATATACGTACATATGTCTATGAGCAACGGTCGCTTCGATATTCCAGCGATTCAGGTGGCCGTTCGCTCGTTTGCCACCTTACGATATAAAAAAAATATTATGTGCAGGTATTCCATTTAATTTAATGAAAATATTTACTAGTTTTATTCACGCAATCGAACATAATAATTAAATTTAGTTAACATATTTTACTATAAATTATGTTTCATGGCACTAAAGGCAATAAAATTCTAGTGAAGTTATAGACGTACTTAATAAATTACTATCATACTAAACAGTTCATGTTTATAAATGTTCTATATATGTACATATAAGAATGAGTTTGGCACCTACACCGGGCTCCAATATTGATCGGACCGAAAACATTGAAGCGAAACGTTATTAGTTTAATAAAATGGAGGGAACAAATGAATTCGTTTGACAATATGCCGGTAACAACACTTAAGTGTTCCACCATATTTCCACTTGGAACAAAACACAGTCTTTTTCGAACAAAAATACAGAAATGTTTTTAAACAATTTTTTAACTTACTTCTTTGTTTTTTTAATTCTAATAAATCCACATAACACTAACAGAAAGAAAGTCATATTTCGTATAGTTGTCTAGAAAAATAAACCAAGTCAGACTCTGTTTTAAAGATATTTTAAGGTAATATAGATATAAAAGTTGTTCTAACACAGTGATTTAATTTTAGAATATATTCGTGTACTGCAGGTGGATTGCAGGTTAACGGCATTAGAGAGGGCAGCGACCTAAGCATAGCCGCCACGCGAGCCGCCCGAGCCGTAGCCGCCAAGCGCTCGATAACTCGACCCCATTTTCCCCAAGACTGGAGACATGTTTCCCCATTTCCAATTCTGTTTCCGGATTTAAAAGGGAGCAAATTGTGAAAGTACAATTGAAAAGTCAACAGTCGATTGTAAAGCTTACAACCGGAGTTTCTCTTCAAATGTTTAACATTCGACAAAAGTATAGTTAAAACAATTGAACAATAGAAACAGTTTTAAGGGTGTCTTAATTTTTAACAGCAACGTAAATTACAAAAACATATTTGATATTAAATTTTCAATGGCTTTAATGTCACAGATTAATTCAATTTCGTTATTCTGATATTTCCTGTAAAAATTAAAATTAAAAATATCTAGGCTTTACTTATTTCATTAATTTTCCGTTAATATATTTTACCCATTAAATCTCATATTATAATAATTAAAATGATTATATGTATATTTTCTGGCATGTGAAACAAACAAATATAGCCTGATGATTTTACATTCCCATTTTCCAAACCACGTAAATTCATAGTAGCTTATTAGAGCCCATAAACAAACATTTGATTGAAATGCACAGATAGTTAACCACCTGACCATAAAATAAAAGGGTATTTATATCTGTTGTTTCTGATTTCGATACTAGCAATATTAAGAGGTCATGGCTCTTTATTGTTGAACCACTAAATAGCGTTTTGTTTCACAACAGCCCAAACAAGAGTGAATCGAGCTTGTGTAATCATTAAACTATTTTCATTTTCGTACGGCGTCATTTGTTCAAAAAACATAAAAGGTCTTTATTTGAATGATATCCGTTCATGTGGAATAAAAAAAATATTAGTTGTTTAAAGCAAATGTTGCTGCGCCTCTGCTCCGGTGTTGCAACGGGTAAACGTTTTATAAAGTCATCATCAGCTCACTATACGTCCCCACCGAGGGGCTCGGAGCCTACCCTAAGTTAAAGGTGATTAGGCCATAGTCAACCACACTGGCCAAGTGCAGGTTGGTTGGTATGTGTGAACATATCTTCAAATTTATTCTCAAATTTGTGCAGGTTGCATCACGATGTTTTCCTTCACCGTCAAAACGTCGGATAAATGTACATATGTAAATCGGAAATCGCAAACACATTGGTACATAGCGGGATTCGAACCCAGGACCTGAAAATTGCAAGTCAAATGCTTGACCTCTGAGCCACCGACGCTCTATTTTATAAAGTAATAAAAACAAAATATATGTATTTTACTTCACTAGAAATTAATGATTCCGATTAACGAAGCAAAGTAAAAATTAAAGCTTAAAGATTAACCTCTAAAGGAAAAGTGGCTTTAACTCGTGAGAAAAACGTTATTTTTCTGAAGCACACGCCTTAAGAATAAAAATTGAAGATGTTTTCATAAGATACGCTAGGAAAGTGTACCGGAATTTATTGCGAGTACGGAACATAATTGGGTACCGAACCTACAGGAAAGCGTCGTAACTGTAAATTGTAATTTTTAAAATTAAATATTTTTCTTAAATTGATTATATTCAACACTTTTATTTCCTTATATTATATTAGGGTTCCGTTCCTCATAGGAAAAAACACGGAACCCTTATAGGATTACTTTGTTGTCCGTCCGTCTGTCTGTCAAAACGCTTTTTCAAATATATATAAATAGCATAAAAAGTAATTTCAATGAAGACAAAAACATACAGAGAATTATTATAAATTAAATAAAAATAAAGTAAATAACAATAAATTAAATTAACTAAACTACGCTCTTAATACTAAAATAAAATAACATAACTTAATGAAGTTTACGATCGCGATTTTCATGTAAAATTTGTTAGTCTAACAAAGAAGAGTACTACACATTTTCATAATGTAATTTAAAACCAATTTGTTCTGAGCCGGCCTTTATTAACTCGAGCACATGAAACAATTAAAACGCACCCCCACTTATACCACGCTAATTAAACAAAAGCAATAATAGCAAAGTTATTACTATGGTAAACTAAAGTGATTTTTTTTTTTGCTTTAAAAACAAAATCCAATTACTTCTTTTGCAAGAATTTAACTTGCCATCGGTTTCTGACATCAAAATCTCTGTATAAAATGTATCGTCATGCCTGTCTTTCCACTTTGACAAAACAGATATAACAAAATGTTTTACGGTTATTTTGGACTCAGAAACCCATGGTAAGGTGTAAGGAGCGAAAAAAAATTATTCTTTGTGTCATTTTAATATCAACTTAAAGATAGTTTGATTACGCTGCATCGATGCAAAGTATTGCCCAAAGTAAAAGCCTGGATTTCCCATTCATTTACTTTGTCTATTTATTATAACTTAATTCCAACGCATAAACGTAACTATGTATCCAAAATACATTGTATTAATAATTTCACAAGCCTCTTAAGGTTTAATATAAATGCTAATAGATTATGCTTTGCCTTCACCTCGTTACCTTTAGATATTACAAACAAAGACAGTGTAAGGCGCAATGTAATTTGCTTAAATTATACGCCATAAGCCGCTTCGTTACAAAAGCCTAAATTTTTGCTGTCGTCATCGCAATCAAAGGGAAAGAGTTATGCTAAGAAATTTAATAATAAATTTCATGACATCAAATTTACATTAAAGTAAACGTAAATTTCATGATATCTTTATCGCTAGATATTAGTTGTATACAAAGACATTCAACATTATGCATGAAACTATTTTATTATATCTTTATAGTTATTAGTAGCTTTATGATGTAGTTAATTGTTTTGTGAGACATTATTATAAACTAATTAATATAAGGCAAAGACGATTCGTACACAAGGCAAGGTAAATCGTGGAGACTACTATCGCATGGTTGCAACGCGTTGCGCTCAAGCCACTAAAACAACTGAATCGTCGACGCGAATTTTCTATTTGGTCAGTACAGGCATATCGACTTTTCTCACGACGATATCGAGAAACAGGTTGCGAGCGACTCTCTTTGACGATGACATTGTATTCAGTACGTCACTTAGCAACTAAAATCACCGGTTTCGAAGATTTATGTTGCCTTGTGTACGAAGGGCCTAACTCTCTGATGTGACGCGACCTCGAAGAAAGCCAATTAAACAATCACCCTGAAGATGGACCCCCGACGGGTCCGTAACTAGTCGGTGCTTCCACCGGAAAATTAGACGTGAGTGTAAGCCGTATAACAATTAATTTACAGCAAAAATGTATTTGTTTTTTTTTCATAATTGCATAAGGATTCCTACCTCTTAAAAATAATTATGTGAATATAATATATTTATTTTAAAGGCATTAAATACAAAAAAAAACACACACAAACACAACACATGATCAACAACAAAACACTGATCTACAAAATGAAAACGCAGCAGTAGTTCTGCACGTATTATAAATTCATGAGGACAAAACAAAAGAATAGAAATAAAAATTCTTTCATTTCTTTCCTTCATATACTTAAATATT